GGGGTGGGTTGGGGGTTGGTAGGGTGGATGGGTGGGTCGGAAGAGAGTTTTAGAAAATGTTTTTCAAGTTTTGAAGGGAAGTCATTTTTCTTAAATTTGATGAAAATGAGTTGATTTGGAAAATATTTTCCAAAACATTTAACCCAACCAAACATGAGAAAATTGAAAAACATTTTCCTTTCATACCAAACACACCCTCAATGTTGATAAAAAGAAAAATTTACTTTTTTTTGGGTACATATTATTATTATTATTATTTACCAATTTTACGTGTATACACGGATATATTATCACTCGGCCGCCATCTAAACTTTGACGTAAACAACTTTTATTGTGTTTACACAAACTCTCAATAATTATAATAACAACTTATTTATTAAAATAATATAAATCATTTTTTAATAAAAAAATTACCATAATCTCTCTATCAATTACATTATCATTTCATATAAATTAATATTCCTAGTAGTACATGGAAAATCAAACTCCCTGAATCTCCTCCTCTGTTCATAAATACAAAAGTCGTGTTTGCTTGACCGTAATTTTTAGGTGTGAATTTCAGCTGTTTTCCATATTCAGAATCAAAAGACGATAAATTAATCGAGCCAGAGTCAAACACGGCTCTATGAAATTGATCAGTGCAATATTCTCGCCAAAACGGTAAAATTTATACTGTATCTGTTTTTTCAAAATTATAGGCGAATTTTCAGAAGTTGAAATTAATGAGTGTATAGTATATAATATCTTCAGTATTTAACTAGAGGAATTGAAGTTGGTGTAACTTCACCTATTTCATTAATGGTGGATCTGCGCGTTAATGCTGATTTTGTGATTTGAATTTCAAATTTTCGAAGCGGTTATTGTGTTTTATGTATATGTATTGAAGGAAATATATGTTACAGTTTTCAGGCGAGTAATTTGAGTAATGGAAGCAGAGACGGTAATGAGTAAAGAGGCGGCAGCGGCTATAGCCGGAACTGAAGCAAAATCGGCACCAGTGAAGGCAAAAATGAATGAAGTGGAATTGGTGAAATGCGAGTGCTGCGGATTGACGGAGGATTGCACGGCGGCGTATATAGGGAGGGTTAAGGAGAGGAACGAAGGGCGATGGATTTGTGGACTGTGTGCGGAGGCAGTGAAGGATGAAATCATGAGGTCATCGGAGAGGCGAATTGGGAGAGAGGAAGCTCTGAATCGTCATATGAATTTCTGTAGCAAGTTCAGAGCTCTAACGCCGCCACCAAATCCGAAGGACGAGTTGATATCGGCGGTGAAGCAGCTGATGTTCAGAAGCTTGGATTCGCCGAGATCAAGTCCGGTGAGAAGGCGCCAAGGTCTAGTTCGATCTCAGAGTTGTTTTTCAATTGATAGTTGAATAGGAGCAACCGCGGTAATGCGTATTTCCAATAAGCATATATTTAAATTGTTGCAGTTAAAAAGCTCGTAGTCAAACGTTCACAATTCAAACCACTTGTAAGAGTTCAGATTTCAGTGAAAATGAAAGAATTTTGCATTAGTGATTTTGAAACATATTATCAAGGAAAATCTGTACCGAAGTTAATAGCATTAGATTAGAGTAGATTTTGGTATCAAATCTGGGGTGTGTGCATCTTTTACACATGTTAAAGCATACCAATTTTAGAAATTAAGAGCCCGTTTGGATTGATTTAAAAAAAGTAGCTTTTAAGTCAAAAATAAAAAATTAAATTAAAATAATTTTTAAGTCAAAAAAATAAAAAGCCCTACTTTTGGTTTTTGACTTATTTTAAGTCAATTTTTACCTTGTCAAACACTACCCAACTTGTTTTCAGTCAATTTTGACTTATTTTAAATTATTTTTTATATTTGCCAAATATTTTCAGAAATAAAAAACTGACTTAAAAGTATGTTTGACCAACTGATTTTTTTTTACTGAATTAAAGTTAGATGAAACAATTACTTAAGTAGAGAAAAAATAGCTTTATAATTATTTATTATGCGATTTTATTATTTATTTGATAAGATTCAATAAACAATTAGGCTATCATGATTCCATTATCGCATGACCAAACACGCCCAAAGTATATAGGTCACAAATTACTTTTATATATATATATAGTCCGTATATTTTCTTTGTAAAATTGCCTAAATGATGATAAAATGTCTCAAACCATTTTTAATAAGTTGAGGAAAAATTGTAATGAAGATTCTTTAAAAATGTTTTAAGAGGAAAACATGCCTTAAGCCTAATGAACTTATGAAAGTAACATATATATAATATAATTATTCAGTAAAGTCACATTTAACAAATTCGTCGCTTTGGCCGAGTGGTTAAGGCGTGTGCCTGCTAAGTACATGGGGTTTCCCCGCGAGAGTTCGAATCTCTCAGGCGACGCTTTAATTTTATGTTTTTCGTTTTTCCTATTAACAACTTTTTGTGTTTTTGAATCTTTTTATTTTGATTTAAAGTTTTTTTTGTTTTTTGTTTTTCCTATTAACAACTTTTTGTGTTTTTGAATATTTTTATTATGATTTAAAGAATGTTGAATCTATCAAATTTCTATAAGTAGGATTTGAACCTATGAAATTTGATCAACTACAATTTATTTTTGGATTCGCCAACAATTACGTGTCCTTTGCATCCTTCACTTGCCCCGCCACTAATAAAAGTAAACTAGTCCCCTATGTTGGACAATTAATCAAATTGTTGTAAACTTGTAATCTTTTAAGTTTCCTTCCAAACTTATAAATTCCGGCTAGGGTTTTTCCATTTTCTTGGTCAAAGGAGGTTCCCTTTCCCATTAAAAAAGTGAGGGTATTGTTTTCTTACCCCCCTAAATTAAAAAGGTTAAAGGGGATAATGTGTACGTAATTCAAATTCTACACCAAACATCCATAACTAACTTAATATTAATTTCCCGCCATTCTAATTTCACAAAGCCTAGACCTCAGGACAAAAAATAAAAAATAAAAAATCTTAAACAAACACCATTACTATCTAACTTCCTAGTGAATGGGTAGTATCTATTGTTCCTTTATTTCCTCTCTTTTACTAATCCAAATTAATGATAACATACTTTATTTTCACAATCATCATTTTTGATGCTTAATTATTCATTTGTTAAATAATGAACAACAAGATTTCTATATTGAAGGCATTTAGAACCTTTGTTGTAGCATGGTTCATTATATTTGAAGGTGTACATGGAGATTTTAATTATCAAGATGCTCTTACCAAATCCCTTATTTTTTTGGAGGCACAAAGATCAGGAAAACTTCCTCCTAAACATAGACCTTCATGGAGAGGAGATTCTGCCCTTCAAGATGGAAAATCTGCTAATGTATGTAGCCTCTCTTTAACACGTGCGTTGTTCGTGTATCACATGATAATTTAAAGAGTTATTTCAACAATTTCCATGTTTGTAGTTTGAAACCTAGATGATCCTCAAAAACTAATTCTTTTGAAATGTTTTATTCCAATCAACGGCCTCTTACTAGGTTGGAGATATAATAAAAAGGAAAGTGTGTCACATGAGTTGGGACATAGGGAGTAACAATTTCTGCGAATTAGCTATAGATAAAGAAAAAACATGTAAATTTTTGTACTGAAATTGTGTACTGCATTATATCTTTTTTGCTTTTATATATAGGTGGACCTTGTAGGAGGATACTATGATGCTGGAGATAATGTGAAATATGGGCTTCCAATGGCTTTCACTGTAACAACCTTAGCATGGGCTGCTATTGCTTATCACTCACAGCTACAATCTGCTGGAGAATTGGAAAATGTTCGCTCTGCCATCAAATGGGGCACTGATTATTTCTTGAAAGCCAGTGTCAAGCGCAATTGCCTCTACGTCCAGGTAATTAAATTAGTCTCTACTTAGTGTACAAAGCATCCCGTGTTCACACAAGTCAAGGAATGTGATATAGACAACCTATCCTGACACAAGCTTATAGGTCATAATTTCTCTAGATATATGTAGTTATTGAATGTTCAAGATTAAAATTGTGCATTGTGTTTTTTTAAAGGTTGGAGATCCAGTGAAAGATCATGAATGTTGGACAAGGCCAGAGAACATGAAAACGCCGAGAACTGTGCTAATGATAGACCAGAAAAATCCTGGAACAGAGATTGCTGCTGAGACTTCTGCAGCAATGGCTGCTGCTTCTATTGTATTTCGTGGAACTGATCGTTCCTATTCCCGTAAACTTCTCAATAAAGCCAAACAGGTACTAATCCCATCCTCATTGTTTGATCTTTTTTCCACTTGGCCAAACTCCTAAATGTATCCTCATAGTGTTTTCTTGGTTTGTGACTCAGCTTTTTCAGTTTGGCAAAACCCATAAAGGAACCTATGATGGGGAATGTCCTTTCTATTGCTCCTTTTCTGGCTATCATGTAACATGCCTATTCCTTTATTACAGTTTGATTTCTCAGATAGTCATTCAGCAAATAGTTATTATCTCATAAAGTCACTTTCTTTGTTGAAAAAAATTGGAATCAAGAAGGGTGACTTTCTAATAACTATTAGTCGAGTGAGCATATGAGAAATCAACTCCCTTAATTATGTTCTTTTTAGATGGTTAATTAGTTGCATATGAAAGTTAACTTCTAAAATGTGTAAAATGTAGGATGAGTTGTTGTGGGCTGCAACATGGTTGTATAGAGCAACCAAGAGGCCAACATACTTGGAATTCATCACAGAAGAGGCTACTACTGCAACTGTAGCTGAATTTAGCTGGGACCTTAAATATGCTGGAGCTCAAATACTCCTATCTAAGGTAATAATTAAAAATCCTTTCTCTGAATAGACGTGGAGTGGCACACTTTGTGGTTGAAAAAATGTTAATGTTTCATCCACATAATGCAGTTCTATTTTGAAGGGGAGAAAGATTTAGCGAACTTTAAGCAACAAGCTGATGGTTTTATTTGCTCAAACCATCCTCAAAGTCCCCATCACCAGGTTCACATGTCTCCAGGTAAGTTTTCGTTTCTACATATAAACTCGATCCATATATTTTATCTATTTATCTGGTTTAACAAGTACATGAGCTGCCAATGTCTAATTTATGATCAGGGGGTCTGATTCACCTTAGAGATGGAGCCAATTCTCAATATGTTACTGGTGCAGCTTTTCTGTTTAGTGCTTATAGTGATTATCTAGCAATGTACAAGCAAACGGTCAGCTGTGGTGATAAAAAGTTCAATTCTGCTGATCTCATGGACTTCGCCAAGCAACAGGTAGTGAATTTGTTCATATTAGTAGCACTTTTCTGATGCATCTCACAATTTACTTAGCTGTTTCAATCAAAAAATGCAGATGGACTATCTGCTTGGGAAAAACCCGAGAGGAAAATCATACATGGTTGGTTTTGGGAACAAACCTCCAACTCAAGCTCATCATAGAGGTGCCTCTGTTCCACAAATGTCTCCAAATAAATTGGTGGACTGCTCTATGAGTTTTGTTAACTGGTACAATACTGAAAAACCCAATTCTAATGAGCTAACAGGTGCCATTGTTGGTGGTCCTGATAAAAACGATAACTTTGAAGATCGTCGCTCAAGTTCATCCATGACTGAGCCAACAACATATACAAATTCTTTGGCTGTTGGTGTCCTTGCAAAGCTCACGAAGCACCATTCCTCGTCTTGATCACCTAAGTAGATTTTCATTATGGTGAAGATTTACGAGGGTGTATAAGTTATTTTTGCAGATGAATTGAGAGTCTATATAATGTTTTTGTAGGTCCTATATAGTGACAGACTGGGTAGCTGGCTGCAAGGAATCGAGCAAATAAGCTCGAGTTTGTCTCTCTTTTCTACGGATTAATGTGTTTAACTTAGAATAGGTTTCTTTTGATGGTCCAGATCTGCATTATTGATTAGTACAAAAGATTAAAGTGTGCACCCAAGAAGTGTGGTGGTTTTACATATGAATGTTGTGTATAAATATGCAGACAGTATTTTGTATAAAAATCTTTCCAATTATGAGTTAGTTTTTAACTGTGGGCTGCACTTTTCGTATGAAATCTAACAACACATGCATGTCTATGGCAATCATTTTCCATTTTCTTTCGACGAAAGAGCACACAAGAGAAGCTTCAAGCTAGAGTTCGAGCATGACAATAAAATCCTCACGAGGCAAAATAACACTCCCCAAACCAATAGTACTTGACAGGTAAAACATTGTTTCTAAATTGGTGACAAACAGAGGGAAAAGCACAACAGATGAGTCATATTAATAAAAAACCATAGATTAATCATAATAACAAACTTAGCTTTGCAAGATATACCAAATCGCCTTTCTTGATCAACTATACAACTTTTCTTTTCATTAAACTAATAAGGGCTGCACGTGAGATCATCTTTGTCACACGCTGCCTACATACCCAAAAACAAACCCTAAAGAGGGATCAAGCCCATACGCACTTCTTTACAAAAATTACATATATTTTTTAAAATTATGGATCTATCTATCTATTTGTTGGATTGGGCAATTGCCTCACGAATTTATGATTGCCGATCTTGAATGT